ATTATATCCTAAGAATCCTAAAATACCAATCCAAAAGAACCTATGCACCCCAATGTTCAGAGCAGCACAATTTACAATAGCCAAGAGCTGGAAGCAACCTAGGTGCCCGTCAGTAAATGAATGGATCAAAAAATTATGGCGGGGACTTCTGCCAAGATGGAGACGTAGGTGGAGGAACGACCTCGCCTCTGTGCACAACCAAATCTAAGAACAACTATTTTTTACAGCAGTCACAACCAAGCCACACGAAAAATCGACAATACGGAGTCCAAAGGACAACTAGATACTCAGCTGGACTGGTACGAGGAGCGAGGCCAGCAGCGGAGCAGGTTAGCAAGAAAAAATTCCCGGGGCGGTGCTCGGTGCGCACAGGCGGCAACCAAGGGCGCTGATCGCGAGCGAGCTGGCTGCCGGAGTGCACAGGGAAGAGGTCGGTCGGTCTGTCGGTCGGTCGCGCGCATTTACGTGCGGAGAAGCCAGTGAGAAGGGAAGCCCGCGCGGGGCAGCAGGCTCGCACAATTCCGATTGGATAAACCCCAGGCGTGCGGAGTGACTGGATGCGCTGGGCTAGCGGAGGGGACCGCCATTGCTCCCTCTCTGACCACGCCCCCACACACAGCGTCACAAACCAGCGACCTGGGTCTCCCCGTCCTGGTAAACAACTAAGGCTTCGCTCCGCTCACTTAACAGATCGAATAGACCAAAAATGGCTCTAGGACAACTCAGAGCCCCAGAACCGATAGACCTAAGTGATGAAGAAATAGCCAGTCTTTCAGATGCACAGTTCAAAACACTGGTTATCAGGATCCTTACAGAACTGGTGGATTTTAGTCACAAATTAGAGAAACATATGGAAGCTAAACTAATTGAAATGAATGGTGATACAAAGAATACCAATAGTAATGGAAAGAAAATTGGGATTCAAATCAAGGGAGTGGACCAGAAGGAAGAAAAAAATGATCAAACAGAAAGGAATGAAGAAATAAGAATTCAGAAAAATGAGGAGAAGCTTAGGAACCTCCAGGACATCTTTAAACGTTCCAACATTCGAATTATAGGGGTACCAGAAGGGGGAAAGGAACAGCCACCAGTGGAAAACTTATTTGAACAAATAATAAAGGAGAATTTCCCCAAGATGGCAAAGGAAATAGACTTCCAAGAAATCCAGGAAGCTCAGAGAGTCCCAAAGAAGTTGGACCCAAGAAGGAACACACCAAGGCACATCATAATTACATTAGCCAAGGTTAAAATGAAGGAGAGAATCCTAGAGGCAGCAAGAGCTAAGGGGACAGTCACCTACAAAGGAGTTCCCATCAGACTGTCAGCGGATTTCTCAAAAGAGACCTTACAGGCAAGAAGGGGCTGGAAAGAAGTATTCCAAGTCATGAAAACCAAAGATCTACAACCAAGATTGCTCTACCCAGCAAAACTTTCATTTAGAATGGAAGGACAGATAAAGTGCTTCTCAGATAAGACCAAATTCAAGGAGTTCATCATCACCAAGCCCTTATTATATGAAATGTTAAAGGGACTTACCTAAGAAAAAGAAGATAAAAAAGATGAACAGTGAAAGGACAGCAAACTCACAGTTATTAAGAACCACACCTAAAACAAAAGCAAACTAAGAGGACAGCTAGATCAGGAGCAGAACCATAGAAATGAAGATCTCATGGAGGGTTAGCAACAGGGGAGTGGGAGGAGGGGAAGGGGGGGAGAAGGTACCGAAAATAAGTAGCATAGACAGTAGATAGAAAATAGATAGGGGGGAGGGTAAGAATAGTAGGGGAAATACAGAATCTAAAGAATTTGAGACACATGTTCATGAACTAAAGGGGGAAATGGTGGGGGAGGGGTATGCAGGGTGGAGGGGAAGGGAGGGGGGAATAGAGCAAATGTAATGGCATAATCAATAAAAAAAAATTTAGTGAGAAAAAAAATCATGTGAAAATTATATATGAGAAAAAGCAATGTAGCAAAATATAATTGGTAACTGTGAATGAAAGGCATAGTGATTTAATCTAGCAACTCATGTGTAAGTCAGAAATTATTTCAAAATAAAAGCTTAAAAAGATAAAAGTTGGGTAACACTAAGCTATTGGCAAGTACAAGTGGTATAATGGTAGTCCTCACATTGCTAGTGGAAGTAGAAATTGATAGGATCAGTATGAACAATAATTTGACAGTATGTTGTGAGGTTGAGGAGGCATTTAAGTCTCTAAATCACAGTCCCACTCTGAACACAGTTCTCATATTCAAGATGTGTACAAGAATGTTACTCTCATTGTTGTTTATAATAGCAAAAGACTGGAAACTAGCCAGACATCTCCCAAGAGGAGAATAAGTAAGAAGAGATGGAGGCGTAGGTGGAAACAGTGTGCCTTCTCGCACAACCAAGTTTAAAGACAACAAAGTTTTAGTAACAAAAAACGCAGCCAAAACACAGAAAACTGAACTTTACATAAGTCCGACAACAACAAACCGTTCAGCCAGACTGGCAAGAGGGGCAGAGCCAAGTCGGGCAGCAAAGATCCCCCAACCCAGGCTCGCAGGCAGCCATTGGCAGATCCCAGGTGTGGGGTAGCAACGGGCGGACCCAGTGAGGGCGCAAGGTGGCAAACTAACCGCGGTTGCATATTCGCGCGCAGATAAACCAGTGAAGGAGCAAGCAGGAGACAGACCACGCAGGCGCCAGTGGTGGGAAGCAGCAGAGGGGATTACCATTGCCCCTCTTTGACCCTGCCCCGACATACAGTGTCACAACCCAGAGACCTGGGCAGCCCCACCCTGGTGAATACCTAAGGTTCTGCTCCTCATACGCATAACAGGTGCAAACAGACCAAAACATGGCTCAAGAAGAACTCAAAGCTCCAGAGCCCGTAACTCTAAGCAATAAAGAAATAGACAAACTTTCAGATGCACAGTTCATAACACTGGTGATCAGGATGCTCACAGAACTGGTTGATTTTAGTCACAAATTAGAGGAACATATGAAGGTTAAACTAATTGAAATGAAGGGAAATGCACAGGAAACCAATAGTAATGGAAAGGAAACTGGGACTCGAATCAAGGGAGTGGACCATAAGGAAGAAAAAAAATGACCAAACAGAGAAGGATGAAGAAACAAGAATTCAAAAAAAGGAGAGGCTAAGGACCCTCCAGGACATCTTTAAATGCTCCAACATCCGAATTATAAGGGTACCAGAAGGGGAAGAGGAACAGCCATGAGTGGAAAACTTATTTGAACAAATAATAAAGGAGAACTTCCCCGTTCTGTCAGAGGAAATAGATTTCCAGGAAATCCAGGAAGCTCAGAGAGTCCCAAAGAAGTTGGACCCAAGAAGAACCACACCAAGGCACATCATCATTACATTAGCCAAGATTAAAATGAAGGAGAGAATCCTAGAAGCAGCAAGAGATAAGGGGACAGCTACCTACAGAGGAGTTCCCATCAGACTGTCAGCGGATTTCTCAAAAGAGACCTTACAGGCAAGAAGGGGCTGGAAAGAAGTATTCCAAGGCATGAAATCCAAAGACCTACATCCAAGATTGATCTATCCAGCACAGCTTTCATTTAGAATGGAAGGGCAGATAAAGTGCTTCTCAGATAAGAGCAAATTCAAGGAGTTCATCATCACCAAGCCCTTATTATATGAAATGTTAAAGGGACTTACCTAAGAAAAAGAAGATTAAAAATATGAACAGTGAAAGGACAGCAAACTCACAGTTATTAAGAACCACACCTAAAACAAAAGCAAACTAAGAGGACAGCTAGATCAGGATCGAACCATAAAAATGAAGATCACATGGAGGGTTAGCAACAGGGGAGTGGAAGAAGGAGAAGGGGGGAGAAGGTACAGAAAATAAGTAGCATAGATGGTAGGTAGAAAATAGATAGGGGGGAGGGCAAGAATAGTAGGGGAAATATAGAATAAAGAACTTGAGACACGTGGTCATAAACTAAAGGGGGGAATGGTGGGGGAGGGGTGTGCAGGGTGGAAGGGAACGAAGGGGGGAATAGAACAACTGTAATGGCATAATCAAAATATATTTTAGAAAAAGAGAATAAATAAGCAATAAATTTGTGATATGCATACAATGGGATGTTACATATGTCAATAAAAATGAAGTAGAGCTACATGATTCAATATGTATAATTATAAAAAACGAGTATAAGGGAAGAAGAAAGGAAGGAACCAAAGAATATGTACACTATCATACTTTTTATATAAGTCTTAATATTATGCAAGCAATACTACATATTGCTTTGAATGGATACATGTATAATAAGAAAAAGAGATGCATGGAAATAATAAGCATATTCATGACATTTTTTTACCTATGGAAGGGGGCACAACACAGAGGGTTTCAAGCACATTTCAGTATTTTATTTCTAAAGCTGAGTTACATACATAGTGTTAAACACTAATTTTGATATTTTTATATGCCTGAGAAACTTCATAATATTAAAATATATTTATTCAAATATCCAGAGCCAGCTCTATTAAGGATGAGGTTTGGGAATCTGGGTTATCATGCATGATAAAGTTTGCTACAAAATTAAAACAGAGCAAGTGAAATTTCCAATAAGTGGCAACATATCAGGTACAAAAGGATACAACACTGTGTCTGTCTTCCCTGTAAAATAATGTTAAAATTACAACGCAATGACAAGAAAAATTATTGTAATTAATTTTAAAACAGAGATGATACTAAAATATGAACATTTAATACCATATTTATAATAGCTGCAATTTCATATTCTTTAGAGTTACTTGATAAGATCTTTCAGGAATAGAAATTCAGCTAAAATAACCTTCCATTCTTAGTTAAAAAAAAGATAATGATTCCAAGTGCATCACAACTGAAGGAAAAAAAAGGAGACTAAATAGCCACTCATACTTTTAGTTGCACTGTTGCTAACTTGCTTAGCTTATTTAATTTGGACATCATTTACTTCTGAGGCTAGGAAAAATAGGCAAGAAAAAACAAATCATTCATACCTTCCTCATATTTTCTGCATCGATGGCAACTATTTCCAGCTGGTCCCTCTCTTGCTCAACCTCGGTCAGTCTCTGCAGCAATGTCTCTTTCTCTTCTTGTAGCTTTCTGCACTCATTCTGAGCTTGAGTTGCCTGGCCTTTGATAGTCCCTAGGTATTCTTGCAACCCGCTGATGACACCTTCTAAATCCTTTTTCAGGGCTTCATTTGCTGCTATCTGGCCTAAGACAAAAAAGGGGAAAGTAATGTATATAAGAAAATGCTTTCAAGATATATAAATAATACTGCATATAGTCTCCTTAGTTATTTGTTACCAGCTAAGAATGAAAGTCTAAGCTTTAAATTATTCCTACTATTTTATTTTTCTTTTTCGAGATATAATGACAGTTTTTCCCATTATCCATAATAGAAGGGAAATAAGCAGGTATACAATAAAAATAGTATACTGAGTGGACATTGCTTATAAATTACTTAATTCTTACTGTAGAAAGTTTAAAGTAGTGATGTCCAAAGAAAATGAAAACTGAGTTCTTGCTGCTAGATACACAAAACAACACCCCTCAACAAACAAGACTAATCTAAGGCTGGGAACATAAACATGAAACCTGAGGACAAAAAAACACAAACAACCCCCAACCATATACTACATACCTACTATGTGACAGGCATGTTATGAACACTATCTTATTTCATCTTCCCAAGTACTAACGATTGAGGTAGAAATAATTTCTCCCAGGTCACACAGCTGATAATAGCAAAGCAGGGACTGGGATCTTACACTGAGCGAAGGCTCTCACCATCGTATCCTCACTTCCACCCTTCCCTTCCGCTATTATGACAATGTCACAATTTAAATTGGCATTACAATAGTAGGTCCTAAAATTCTCTCTACACTCTCCTTATAACTAGACACTGAAACCCTGATGGCAATGAGCTCTTTGCTCCTGGAAGGATTTTATACCTTAGAAGAGGGTGATCACATGCCCAAGTTTGTCATGATCATGTAACTGACTTCTTTTCTACTGACTGCAGTGACCTGACTCACTAGGACATCAACTCAACAAAATTAAATTTCAAAATTTTAGTTTTATTACACTTTTGGGTATTATGCCAATATTTCCTTATCAAATACTAGTACTAACAGCTGAAGCATATTCAACTATTATCTGGATTAATGTCTCTCTGAGTGTCATTTAAATCAACTTAAATTCTCACCTTCAGTAAGCTGCTGTTCAAGATCCTTAATCTCTTCAGTTTCTTTAGCAATTCTAGAGAGTATTTCGTCCAAACGGCTTTCAAGTTGTTTGTACTGCTTGTTCATAATGTCAAGCTGTTGTTCTTTACCCCTTTTCTGAGCCTTCATATGGCACTGAATTGAAAAAAAAAAACCCAACTCTTTAAAAATAACAATTTTCAATTTTTTTAAAGGAAGATTGGAAAATAAAATGTAACAATGTGCAGTATGTCAGGCTCTATGTTGTTTTCACGTGAGCAGTTTTCATTTATACCTCATGATGACTTGATCAGGGAACCATCTCCATTTTACAGAAGAGCAAATTGAGGATAAAAGAGGTTAAATGATTTTTCCGAGGGCACAACTAGTAGGTAATGTAGTCAAGTTCAAAGTTCTTTGAACTGCATTAAAATATGTCTCTTTAAAAAGGTTTTTGAGGACTTCCAGTTAAGATGGTGGCATAGACAGCCATGGCTCACCTCTTCGCATAACCACATCAAAATTACATCTAAAATATGGCACAACCATCACTCAGAACAGTCAGAAATCAGGCTCAGTATGTATTCTCACAACTACAAAATTAAAGAAATCATATCCATTCAAATTGGTAGGAGATGCACACACACGGCACAGGCTGGTCCCTTACACATGTATGGTAGATAACAATTCAAGAGGGATATCCTAGAGCAAGGAGTCCCAGCCCCACACCAGGATCCTCAGCCCAGAGTTCCAGTGCCAGGAAGATAAGTTCCCACAACTTATAGCTGCAAAAACCAGCAGGGATTGAGTTGGTGGGGTCTCAACTCAAGCAACTCATGCTAGAGTCTCAAGCAGTTCCTCTTAAAGAACACACACGCACAGACTCACCTACTGAGACTTACTCCCTCAGCTCCAGAGCCAGGGTGGCAGCTTCAGGGGCGCCAGCAGTGTACAGGGAAAAGCTGAGGTGTCTGGCATCCAGAGGCCATTGTCCCTTTTCTGGGCCCTCCCCACACAGAGCTGGCAGGCTGGTGCTGTATCTGAGACTCCATCAACCTGGCTAACATTATTTGACCCACCTTAGAGATCCCTAGACACTCTGCCCCCACCCTACTTAAAGACCCATCCAAGCAGCTTTTCCATATGAGTGGGCTGGTCTTGGCTCAAGCATCACAACTTCCTAAATCCTCTCAAAAAAGCAACAGCTGGCCTCAGTGAGCCTCAGACCCAGTACTAGCAGCAGCCAGTCTAGATTCACAGCTTGGCTTTGCCTGGGAATTGCCAAGCCCAGCATAAGTAGCAGCCATCTGAGATTGCTTTATAGCTCAGGCAGGATGGCCCTGGGAAAAACACAAGAGGGCTGACCTTGGCCTGCACCACCCAGGAAACCCCAGTGCCAGCCAACCCAGTGGACAGCTATAGACCACATCGGAGCACCAGCACCCTGACTCTGTACAGCTGATTCTCCACAGAGGGTGGAGGTTGGTGGTAAGTGGTCACAGCCAATCCTTGCAGCTGACTGGCCTGGATAAATCCCTCCCATTGATCTTCCAGCAGCAAGCAAGGCTCAACTATAAGAGGAGGGTGTACTCAGCCCATAAGAAGGGGCACCTCGAGTACCCAGCTTGGGTGATAGGGGAGGCTGTGCCACTGGACCCTATAGGACATCTACTATGTTAGACCACACTACAAAGACATGGAATCAAAGTAGCTCTATCTAATACATAGAAACAAACACAGGAAGGCTGCCAAAATAAGAAGACAAAAAAAACATGGCCCAAATGAAAGAGGAGATCAAAACTCCAGAAAAAGAGTTAAACTAAATGGAGATAGCAATCTATCAGATATAGATTCAAAACACTGGTTATAAGGATGCTTAAGGAACTTAGTGAGGACCTAAATGGCATAAAAAAAAGATCCAGTCAGAAACAAAGATACACTAATTGAAACAAAGAACAGTTTACAGGGAAACAACACTACAGTAGATAAAGTTGAGAATCAAATCAATGACATAGAACATAAGGAAGCAAAAAACAACCAATCAGAAAAACAAGAAAAAAAAAAGAATCCAAAAAAAATGAGGATAGTGTAAGCAGCCACCAGGACAACTTCAAGAGATCCAACACTCACATCATAGGGGTGCCAGAAGGAGAAGAGAGAGCAGGAAACTGGAAATCTATTTGAAAAAAATAATAAAAGGAAACTTTCCAATTTAGTGGAGGAAGTAGACATGCAAGTCCAGGAAGCACAGAGAGTCCCAAACAAGATGGATGCAAAGAGGCCCACTCCCAAGACATATCATAATCGAAATGCCAAAAGTTAAAGAATCTTAAAAGCAGCAATACAAAAGAAATTAGTTACCTCCGGGGGGGTTCCCATTAGACTATCAGCTGATTTCTCTAAAGAAACTTTGCAGGCTAGAAGCAATTGGCAAGAAATATTCAAAGTCATGAAAAGCAGGGGCCTAGAGTCAAGACTGCTATACCCAGCAAAGCTATCATTTAGAATCAAAGGACAAATAAAGAGATTCCAGAGAAGAGAAAATTGAAGGAGTTCACCACCACCAAACCATTATTATATGAAATGTTAAAGGAACTTATTTAAGAAAAAGAAGACCAAAGCTATGAACAATAAAATGGCAAAAAATACATATCTATCAACAATTGAATCTAAAAAACAAACTAAGCAAACAAGAACAGACAGAATCACAGATACGGAGAGGGTCTTAACTGTTGGCAGATGGGAGGGGGTGCAGGGGAATGGGTGAAGAGGTGAGGGGATTAAGAAGTACAAATAGGCCCTGGCTGGTGTAGCTCAGTGGACTGAGTGCCAGCCAGTGAACCAAAGGGTCACTGGATTGATTCCCAGTCAGGGCACATGCCTGTGTTGTGGGCCAGGCCCCCGGTAGAGGGGGGACACAAGAGGCAACCATACATTGATGTTTCCCTCTCTCTCCCTCCCTTTCCCTCTCTAAAAATAAATAAATAAAATAAAAGTACAAATAGGTAATTAAAGAATAGCCATGGGAATAGCCATGGGGATGTAAAATACAGTATGGGAAATGGAGTAGACAAAGAACTTATATGCCAAAGAACCCATGGACATGAACAATGGTGGAGGGATTGCCATGGGGGATGCTGGGTGGAGGAATGGTACAAAGGGAGAAAAATCAGGACAACTGTAATAGCATAATCAATAAAATACACTTAAAAATTTTTTTAATTATAAAAGGTTTTCAAAAAGTTAATTGATTACATATACATACAGAAAAAGACTATATTGCAAATGTTAACAAGTATAATAGCTAGGTGGAAGGATTACAGGAGATTTTAAATAAAATTTTTATACTAAAAATTGTATAATAAACAAGTGATAACTTTTTAATAAAAAACATGTGTACTTCTAAAAAAGGTTTCTTATGGGATAATAGAGACATGAAATAAAAACTTAATTGAAATTCGAGTTTCTTTTCCTTTTTTTTCTTTTCGTTTTGGGCATTTTTTCTTTATTATTTGTTTATTTATTTATTTAACTTGATGTTTGAGTACAGTTTTCTGTCTTTTACTCCCATCCCAGCCCTCAAGTTTATTTTCAATTCCTTATACAACTAAACATTTTGTTTTCAGTTTCAATGAACTAGGACCTCAGAGGGATTCAAACACCATTCAGCCCAGTGATTCTCATAATGGAGGCCTGGCCCCATGGAGGCACAATCTTCTGTTCTTACATATGTCCCTGGTGGAAAACAGAGCTTTCACACACCCACACACCCTCTCCCACCCTGACTGGCATCGCTTCAGGGAGCTACTGGTAACTGAAAAGACTGGATCGTATCTCTCAGGTGTGCTGGGGAAAAAAACTGACAACCAGGGAGTAGTCTAACTCTTCCTTTTACACATGACAAAACTGAGTCTCAGATTCTTCACATGACTTGCCCAGATCACTTGGAGAGTGCTCATATGGACACAAAGTAATTCCCCAAAGTCTTCGCCCTCTGCTCACATCCTCACAGGCTCTGTTTGCATCGCCCCACTCCCATCAGAGGAACAGAGCAATCAGGGGAATTATCAGGGGAAAGAACTACATTACAGTCCAAACAACAAACTCCAAGACCCAACTGATTGTAAAATAACATTTTTCAATTTTAGAGGTCTGCTGCCTCCAAAGACAAGAAGGATCAAATGAATGGCAGCTTGATCAGAAGGTTTTAAATTTACTACTGGTAAAACTTGACAGAATTTCCAAAACACTTCTTCCTACATTCCCAAAATCTTTCTGAAAAAGCAACTGCAGGCAATAGCTTAAATTCGAAGTAAGTTTACGATTTTTATGGCTCGACAAAGAATTTAAAAAACAACACACAAACAACAACCCCGTGTTCATATCTCCATCAATAAATCTTTAAAATTTACCATTAAAAAATTCATTGAAATTTCTTTACATGCAGGACAAAAAAATGGTTCACTATGTCCATGATTTGCATTAAACACATGGATGTAAAAGTAGATTCTGCAATTTTCACTACCGTGGTGCTCACAAAAGAGTTATTGTAAAAACAGGAACTTACATCTCTGACTCCTCCTCCTTTTAAGCCCTTTGTAGAGAGAGAGAGAGAGAGAGAGAGAATGATCCTACCTTAACTTAAAATTTGTTCTGTTAAAACTGAGCCGTTGAGAACAAGGAAATTGTGGGCGGAACAATTTCTAATGTCTTCAAATTTCTGTGCACTTCCCTCTCTGACAGCCACATTTTTGTAAGCGCCTCCAAGCCTCTTAACTTCCCAGCTCTTCAAACCACATTCCTGGCCGAGTGAGTGACAGCCCAGTCCGTCCAATCACGAGCAACCTCTGTTGGCCCAACAACACAGGAAGCTCCCAAGGGCCAATCACGCACACCCTTTGCAAAAGATTACTACAGGCTAAATCTCCACGGGGCACAATTACTGGTTGCTTTACAGGGCATTGCCGCTTAGGGAAGAAAGATATAAATCCTTTATTATTCGCTCCTGTGATATATGTGCTTCTAGCTATGGCCATTTTTATAACTAAAATAGGATTTGATTTTTTAATATTTTTTTTGAAACCTAGTTACATGCTTATGTTTGTTGAAAACTTGACTTAGGCTCAGCTCTGAGCTAATTTTAAAAATAATTAATCTCTTTAGACCTTTAATTCCTTTGTGGGGAAAGGGTCACTGTAGCCGCATAAGCCTGGGCTCTATGTCTATCTAAAAGGGTGAGCTTGGGAAATCATTTAAACTTTCTAAATCACATTTTCATCTTTTGTAAATTGAAAAAAGAGTCGCCAACCTTCTAGGGAGATAAAATTCCTTACCAGTATAGGCAAAATCCCAGCACTATGCAAGACATTGTTGGCATTTAACATACTTGTTTTCCATCATTCCTCGGTCATAATACTATTTTCTAATCTCTCAAGCTTTTACTTTTAAATTTTATTTGCAGTTTAGAAAGATACCTCATCTAATTACACAATAAAAGTTAACTGAATAAGTCTACATTTGTTTAAAAAGTATGCAGGGGTCCCGCTCTTGATTCTTTCCCTTTTGCTAAAATGTTCATATTTGTAACCTAAAAATGGGGTGCCTAAAACTAGCCAATAAGGCAACTTTGTTTGCAAATTAGAAAAAGATGCTCCCTGAAGTGAACAAATTATAAAGAGACATTCCTCTGGTGCTTAGACTAAGGCTATAATCTTAAGAACTAAACTTTAGTAGTTTTGCTGTTTTTTAATCCTCACTGGAGGATATATCCATTGATCAAGAGAGAGAAGACGGCAGAGAGAGGAACACTGATCGGAACCCACAAACAATGCATGTTCTCCAAACGGGAATTGAACCCGTGAACTTTGTTTTGGTTTATGGGCGGATGCTCCAACCAAGCAACACTAGCCAGGACACTTTTAGTAGTTTTAACAGTACCAAAAAGAAATCTTAAATCTGGTTTGGATGTTTCATCCTTGCTAACACAGATTGATTATAGCTACCTTCAAAATTTAGATGCCATTCCTATTTCTCATTTAACTCCTTCCAATACGTAATTCTTTGCATAAATACAGTGAGCATCAGACTCTATGTCTGCCAAGAATATCACTGTCATTGTTGAAAGGGAACATACAATCTAGGTTTTAACTAGACTCGTAGATCATAGAACTGGAAGGAGCAGCAAAGGAGCTTTGGGTAGTGCCTATAAGCTGGCTCCTTCCTGCCTTCCTTGATGCACGCAGGCAAAAACATAGGGCTGGGGCCCTAGGGATACAGTTCCTGTCCTCAGGGGCCTCCTTGGGGTAGAAGACTTATGAACAAATAAATGCAATAAAGATTTTATTGACCATAATACACACATTACTTAAAATATCTAACTTTTCATGTACCAAAAATTATTTAAAATAATCAAGATTACTTTTGGTTTCAATTTTAATACTAAATCTTGGCTTCTGTTAGAAAAGACCTTAAGTCTATGATGATAAGGTCACTCTTTGTCAAAATTAGTTGGTCTACAATAAAAAAAATCTACAACATTTTACTAAAATGTTTAAAGGAATAATTTAAAACTTCTCAAATACTCAAAGCAATTATAATGCATGGTCCTTACCATGTTAAATTCTGTAATTTCTCTTGATCTAGACATCTTAAAGTTATTTAAAAATCACCTTATTATGCAAAGTATACTATTAAAATATGCAGAAAATATTTCCACTTGTATTGTACAAATATTGGCTAAAATATTAATTAAGACTTCTCAGGGTAGAGACAGAAAGAGACAAGAACCTAATCCCATCATCCAGCCACCTAACCACATGGGGCCAAATTTTAGGAAGACATACTCTCAAACTCATTTTCACCAGGGGCCATATCAGCCTCACGGTTGCCTTCAAATGACCAAATGTAATTTTAGGACTGTGTAATAAATGTAACTACTCCTTAACTAAAAGCAAGGAGCTCAGCACTGCCACTGGGTAGAAACAAGGTACCAGGCCAGATGAAACAAGGTAGAGGGCTGGATTCAGCCCAAGGGCCTTGTGTTTGCCACCAGTGCTCCAGAGAAATGTTTCCTTTTTAAGGACAAAACAACAATATGAAACAACAAATAGCTTTAGTGAAATATTTGCATCAAGGATCCTATTTGCAAAAAGATCAAAGAAGGGGTAGAAAAAGGACTCTAAACCTACCTCTACTCTTCTGTATTATCACCTAAGTCTTAAGAATGAAGACAATAAGGCAGAGAGGAAGGGTAATACATTTAGAGAGCACCTTGAAGCAGGTTTCTCTTGATTTGAAATATAATGAAGTTCAATCACTTAAATACATTATGCATCCCTCTTTCTATTGAAAGTTATTTTCTTCAAACCCTGCTTGTTATGTTTTAAACACATACACATATATTTTATATACAAGTACGTATGTATGTATATGTATTCATACACACATATATACATATGAATAGAAACATACATACACACATAAAAAATATATATCTCAAATTTGCGCAACAAACTAAAAAAGAATTTCAAAAAGGATTTCGAGGCTAAGAATGATGAGACATAGTATCTGGATAAAATGAAATTCTAGTCCCCATAGAACAAGTCAAAATCTCTTCATCTACTTACATGTTTTGGGTCTTCAGAATCCAAGCTATCTAGGACCATTTGCAAGTCCTGAATCTCCTTCTGTTTTTCAGCAATTTCTTGCTTTTGCTTATCCTTCTGCACTTCTAGATCCAGAGCTTCTTGGCGTAATTTATTTAGAAGTTGTATCCTACCACTCAACTGCTTGAAAAGAAGGTCTTTCTCTGCTTCTGAAACCTAATTCCCCAGACCCCAACACACTATTAATAGAGGGTAGCAACACTGATTTACAAATTTAAAGAAAATAACTTTTACAATTTAAAGGTGTGCTCTATGAGTTTTTTTTAAATAACAAAATACAGAAGTTATCCAGGGATTTCATTCACATCTTATACTTTCATGCTTATTACATGTAGAAAACCTTATTTTATAAAAGTTTAGGAAAACTAATAATAGCAGATAAAAATGAAGTTGTCACACTAATATAAACAACTTATAAGTTATTAATAACCATACTAATGGTAGCTGACTTTATACAATACTTACTTTATATTGTACTTACCGTTGTTATTAGCATGTCAAGCAAATTAATAGCGTAATGAAAATTTAGACTTATATTTACTCATTTAAAATAACTACTTTTTCCAAGCACATTTTGTTTTAAAAGTCCATTATCTAAATCTATCAATCGGCTATATAAAACTTTGGCCAGTACTATTGTAAAACATTCTTATTTAATTATTAAAATCATTCTTGATAACTCCCTCCACCTCATTTCCCACCTTTAATCCATCTTTAAGACCTATCAATCAGTTCTACTGCCAAATTTTAGACTTAGAATCAGTCTGATTTCTCTCCATGCTCACCATCACCTTCCCAGTCCAAGCTATTATCATCTCCTGTCTGTACTAAATACCCTCCTAACAGGTGCACAAATCCCCATTCTTTCCACCTCCCTCATTTCACTCTCTTGCAGTAGTCAGAGTGCTCTTGTAAAAATACAAATAGGATTAGCTACTCTACTACCTAAGGTCCCTCAAAGGTTTCCCATTATATTCAGAATAAAATTCAAACCCTTTAAATGGCCTATGAAGCCTGGCATGATCTTTAACCTCATCTTCCATAACACTCTCCCTCACTCTGCAAAGGAGTTTTTAGTTGGCCTGGAATACCTTTCTCCTAACTCTGCTTCACTGGCTCCCTCTCATCCTTTGGGTTTCTGCCTAAATGTCACCTCCTCAGAGAAGCCTTTGTAAGTCCCCACAATTTAAATTATATTCTTTTTATTACTTCTTCTAATTTTCTGTAACACTTTTATTGTTTAACTATATATTTCTTTTATACTTTTGTTTGTTGCCTATTTCCTGACCATGAGGAAGGGATGCATCTGTCTTGTTCATTTACTGAGGGCCCGGTCAGTGACTGCCATAAAGTAAGTAAGCTTCCAGTAAACTGGAATCAATTTCTAGTTACTATATAATTCAAAAGTAACAGTATCTTTAAAAAGATTCTATACTTTGAATTTTACATTCTTGTTCTTTCTACTATAGTATGAATGCAGTTATCCTCATAATTTTGAAATACTGATATTTAAAAGTTGCAAATAACTAAAACCTTTTGCATGCTTAAAAAGTAAAATTTTCTCCCTATGCTATTACATCATGGGTTTGAACTTCCTTCTTCATGACACACTTTGTAATTTCTGAGAGTGTATCACTTCCATCTTTTTGTATACCATATTTTACATCATTTACATTTCTGCTGCTTGTCTGATAATGTTTATGTTGTAGTAGAGATGTCTTCTGGCTTTTAATCTAGATCCCAGGATCTTAAAAGTAGGGAGTACTTAATTAAATTAGGAGAAATGTCGGAGAGCAACTTCCCTGGGTAATGTAGGTGCTTTTTGTAATAAGCTTAGACCAAATACATCTTTTTACATAAGCTGTAATTAATTTATTTCTACACACTTTATAAAATCCTGATTGCAAGTCATCATGATTGGAAGGAAAGTAACTGGAAATGCTAAAACTGCATCTGACTCTGAAATGTGTTATTTCGTAATTAATTAAGCAGGACTGATTTAAAAATTGTTTTACATGGTTATGAAGGGAGAAAACATTTCACTTTTTTGCATTTCCTCTTAGCATTGCTACTTTGCTTTTACATACTTTTTTAAGCTGTATAGCTTCTTCCAGTTGCTTAAATTCTTCAGTTGCTCTTAAGATTTGTTGTTCTGCCTTTTCTATTTCATCATGCAGTTCTGAGAGTCGAGTTTGTGCTGCAAATTTAAAACCATGCACACAAACAAGAAAAATCTTGAATTTAAAAATTTCTATCAGATGTTTTTCTTTACAATAACCTCCTCCCTCCAGTTAAATTATAGATAACAGATTAAATTATAGATCACAGGAATAAAAAATGTAATTTCTTATGATGGTTTTCCTTTTTATTAATCTCTAGAATAGTTTCATGATATGCTACAGAACTATAATTTATCCTTTTTTATTGTATTTTTTCTACTACCATGTAGTCCCCTTTAATTGAACCTTTAAATTTGTAAAATTCTTAATATAAAAGGGGCTTTAATTGATGCTCCCAACACTAAAGATCTCTTTTGATAAAATAAAGATCTTATTGGTAAATATATACTTACATGTCACTAAGTTACATAATTAGGCTTAAACTATTTTAAAAAACCTGTGTTAGAGGTAAATGCTTTTATAAGGGGACTCAATATCAAGAAATTCACTACTGAACAATCTTTCTCAACTAAAGTAATCTCAAATCAATCACTTTCTACCTCAAATTTCCAATTTCTTTTTCTCCCTTACTTCTTCCCTGCCTCCTATAGAATGAATGATGAGCTCCTTGAAGCTAGTCTTCACAGATATCTGATTTACTTTTGTATTCTCCCTCTGGAGCCTGGCCATGCAGACATGGACAACTCAGTCTTTTTCTTCCCTCTCCTAGTCAACCTCTACTGGACTTCCATGTTTTCTATTTAGCTACTAGCCAAGGGAAGGTGAGCTGCTAATATGGTTGGTCAGAGGCCCACAATGCGCCCCGATTCCCAGTGGGATGCATGAACTCAAGTCTGCTTTCTCCTTCTTTCATATCTATGCAGCTGAGTGGGAAGTGGAGTCAAAGTTTGTCATCAGCAGGGTCTCTAAGAGCCCTCTTAGATTGACTTCTTCATCTTTGGGACTTGCCAGGAGGTGGTAAAAGCCCCTGAATTAGATGTTCTGAGGGTGGGATGGAAGGGAAGGTTGAGGAGGTGGAATGTGGAAGAGGTTGCGAAGAGTCAAAGCCAGCCTCAGGCTCCAGCCTAAGAAGAGTGCCCTGATCCAGTTTATCCAAAGCACTGCTTTAGGTTTTGGATGCATATATAGTAATAAAGCAGTATGTCACTTGCTTCAATTATTACTAATTATGTCTTTGAATGTATAGCTCCAATGGTGAAAAGGATCTGCTGGCAGGAGATTTAAGCATTCTTGTATACCCCGGATATGTTGTCATCAAATTACTATCAAAACCTCATTTTCTAACATAATAGAAATAGCTATAACCTGCTCAATGAATCACTACTTTTGTTTTAGACTTTTCACATAAACAACAATTTAATAAATGTCTCTAGCATGTTAAGTAAAAGAATTATTAAAACACAATTTGCCTACATAGTCAACCTTTTAATATTTTTAAAGAATTTAAAATGATTTTTTTAAACCTGCATTTATTTTTCTTTCTTTGTCTTCCAGTTGTATGTCCAGTGGCATATGAGCTCTCAAGTTCTTCTGTCCATTTCTAGGTTGTTCCCCTTCACTTGGCTCCACCTTCTTGATCTCTATTGGCTGGGCTTTATCGATAATGTAACTCTCTCTGGTGAACATATTTCTCTTGTATCTGGATTTGCCAATATAGGGGCTTTCCTCCAGGGTTTTATCAACTTCAACATACTATAAGCAAAATAAATTAATAGATGTGTGGTTTAATAAGTAACTTATAAACAGTCAGGTGACATTATTCATTTTATTATGAAGAACATATCACAGAACTGCTTAAATGTTAATTCTACATGAAGTTGAAAAATATACATCATCCTTTCATCCTTATATACCAGAAAAGAAGTAGAACAAAAAATGATCTCAAAGGATTTCTCCTATTCCTGAAGAGTGAATTTGGGTTTATTGATTAAAGAACTGTGTACAGTTATGTGATTTTTAGACCTGCTTAATCTTTCAAACCACAAATTTAAGTATTTTATCTTGGTTTCGTGGCTGATATATAAGTAAAGTATCTATTTAATAAATTTTAAAAACTGCATTTTTATCTAAATAATATGGTACTGGTTACAATCACTGGGTCTTAGACATTAAGTGGTTTCTCTTTGTAGTAAGATTATGGCATATGTATAAACAATGGTTGACCAAGACTGCACCCAGCGGTTACTGAACAAAGAACATACGGAGATGATTATTCCATGGTTGCTGAAGCTAGCAGTGCACTTTTTATGAAGTTCAGATTTAAGGGAAATGATCAACCATATTCTTGAGTGAGGTATCTGAGGGTTACAAAGCTGCTTTGGGTTATGAATAGGGCTGTAGGTAAGAATCCTTCTGGGCTTTTTATCATATTTTTCCATGCATTAACATGCATCCTTGTTTTTCCCTCAAAGATTTGGGCAAAAAAGTGTGCATTATACACAGCAAAATATGGTATCTCTTTTGGATACTGCTCTAACATACAGAGCCAAATAATTCTCAGATCCAACCAAAATACATTTATTCTTCTGGTGCCCTCACAACAAGAAAGTGGAGTGGTTATTGATTAAAAACCCTTGAAAGTCTCCAACACCTGCCCCCCTGCCCCACTATAAGCTTGCTTTAACTGTGGATTATTAAAAAATTAAGATAACTCACCTCTGATGGATAGTAATTTAGTGGCTCAAATTTAGCATCAATTTTATAAAAGGCCAATTCCTGTTCCAGCTCATACTGTTTCTGACATGCTCGCGTTAGTTCCATGGTCTTCTGTTTTAGCTATTGGCCCAATTTGATATGAGATAACATATAGCATCAGTAAGTCAGTATAAAGGTACAATGGCAGGAGGTGAGTTCTAGTCATAGCTAATAATTAGATTGTTTTAAACCCCATAGCAAAGAGCACAACATTCAGAATATCTCATCGTAATTCTTAAGTATTAAAAGAATGAAATACAAAAATATCATAAGAGATCACATAAAAGACCTTTGAAGTTATCTGCTATTTCAGGATACAATGAATGAAGATTTTAAAAACATTTAAATGTGCTTTAACCAAACATGAAAATAATTCTGTATGAATTATTTTTAAGTAACTAGTATACTAAGTACCTGCTTCCTGATTCCCCAATAATTAACAGTAATTTATTTAACTCTGCAATTTTAATGGTAGCTTCAAATCATGGATGAAAATGATATTTAACATTAATTATAAAGGAATCAGGAGGAGGAGTGAGAAGGATGAAAATAAGAGTTTAGTTTTAAGAACTTTATTGTTGCTGTATTTTGGCTAATGGCATCTCAGTTTTAGCTGTTCAGAATATTATTTTTTTGTAATAGAGGATAAAGAATGTGAATAAGATCAATCAATCACATTCAAATATATAATACTAACTTTTTAATAAAGTAATTCTACTAAAATTATAACTTCTTAGTTACCTGTTATTCTTAGAAATTTTTGGATTTCTACAGTAAAAGAAATCATCTAGTCTAATTCTCCGAATTCATAAATTAAAAAACTGAGTCCCAGATGGGTGAATTGACTTGTCAAAGTTACATATTACATTAGTGGCAGAGGCTAAATATTTCATTAACAGTACCAGCCCCCTTTTTTTACACCAATCCTTCAAGTTCATTTCAAAGGTCCACTAAGTGATTTTCATCTTTTTCTTGGCCAGTGTGTGATAGAAGATACAAAACAAAAACAAAAACAAAACAAAACAAACCATGCAGAAAAACTCTATTAATATAAAAATGCAAGCTTGAGAGAATAAAAAATAGACAAACATAAACATTGTACAAGGCCCAGGAAACCAAAGGCGTGCACGATTTAGCTTACAGTCACCTCCTGATTATCCATCAAAGGGAGGTGACACTAACCTGAATAAGAGGTAATCTTGACTGAGTCCTCACTGTATGCCAATCATTTTACCTGTGCTATCTCACCAAATCTTCATAGCTACCTTATCAGATGACAAAAACTGCACACAGAGGTTAAATAACTTGCCAATTCCACAGCTGGTTGTGGAAGAGGCAGAGTTCAATTCCAAGTCCCCTGATTTCAAATCTAATCCTCTAATATACTATATGCCTTCAATGTCCTGCTGCAGGGTGCCTAGCACATACCCACACTTATGTTCTTTCAGTGAATGCTCCTAAGTCACCAAGTCTCAAGAAAGCAACTCATAACCAACAGTGTCAACTAATCCTGGGCTCCTCTCCCAAAGACCATTGGCAGTAGGACCAAAGGCAAATATGCCTGAGACCATAGAAAATGAATGAACCGGTCTCTGTAGGCAAATAATAATAAACACTCTGTGCATATCAAAGCACATTTGTATCTTTCATAGCACTAGGTTTAGCATACAGAAAGCATTCAATAAATGTTCATTGAGGGAATGCACAAATGAGAGCAAATCAAGAGTCAAAGGACCTGGGAAGTTGCCTAGTTACAGTATCAGCTGTGGATAATCAAGAGCTGACTGCAGTTAACATATTTACCAATAGAAAAAACAATACAAATTCTTTCCCCTGACATTCATATTTACTCTTCTATATATATATCCATTAAAAAATTATATACACATACACAAGCACATTTCATGGGAAGGCAAGCCAATTTCAAAACTTAAAATGTACATAAGCATATTCATACAAATCATGCAAACCATGAAAAACAGTGTGCAATTCAGTCCTGAAGGAGCTACCTTTAAGGAAGAAAAAAGAATCGGCAGAAAAAGGTCTGCAAGAAACCAAGACAAGGGCTAAAAGGAGAAAGAAGCAAACAGAAACCATCACCTAGAGAACTCTAGAGTGAAGTTGTATAACATAAGTTGTTCTTTACTGACAAATTACCTTAAAAAGTAATTGTTATCAGTACTTGCATTTTTCTTATATGGACACATTTTATCATCATTCTATGAGTTACAGACTAACCACCTTCCATTACTTAGCTTGATTCATTTCAAATTATTTTCATATTCATTATGTCATTAAGTCCTCACAACTCTGTAAGACTGGCAGGACAGGTAAGTCACCCTCATTTGAAAAATGAAGAAACTAAAGAACAAAAGTTAAATAACTTTCAAAGAGACAAAGAGCAATATTAATATCAAAGATAATCAAAGTTAATATTTGTTGGTGGCAGGAGAGGGAGAACTACTACAGCTTAAAGGCCACCAGCAGTTTGATATCACTACCTTTCTTTTGCAGGTTGACCTACTACGTGAAACTAGAAAACACTACATAACTGTAGATGGTATTATTAACAGATATTCTTCATAAGAGAATGAAAAATGTTTTTCAAATACAGGCTCTCAGAATAAAACCTAGAATTCTTAAAAAAAAAAAAAAGAATAGTCCTTTGGAATAATAAGAGAACAGGCAAAACAAAATAAATTTAAAGACAAAAACTGAAAGAATACAAATAGCTAATAATTACATATACAATATTCAACTCCAACAACTAAAGAAATATGAAATTAAAGCAAGGAGATTCCATTTGTTTCCTATTTACAAATTCAAAATAATGTAGTGATTTATATTAAGGAATTAATAGTATGAATGTGTAAGGTATATATATTTACATATAAAGATTTTCTCTGTAATACTGTTTCTAATAACAACAAAGTGGAAGCAACCTAAATATTCATCAATAATACTAGGCTACATAAATTATGGAGGATCCATATAATGGAACATAATATAATATCTGAAAAGAGTAAGAAATATTTATGGGTAGTATATGTATAAAGTGTATGTGCACAAGTTACGGGTGTATTCTTTTTAAACTTGGAGAGCTGTTCATGACATACTGTTTTGTAAAAAATAAGATGCAGAATTAAAAAATATATATATAGTAAGATTTTTTAAATCACAAAAATACTCAAAGTATATACATTGTATTCAATTACATATACATTGTTATATGTACATTGTATAAGCAGAGAAAACAAAAAGGATATATATTAACACCAGGCGATGGGGTAGGGGAAGAGTGAGACCTTCATTTTCTACTGTATACATCTGTGTTACCAGAATTTGTTATAGTAAACTTACTAACTTCGTATATGCATGTATTTTGTATATATGGTTAAATGGTTAAATATGCAAATAGCATGACATAAAGAAGAGCACAGTCTATCTTCTAACCAAAAATAGTTACAAAACTATTTGTTTTTTCAAAAAAAAACAAAACAGCAAAACCACTGGCAATTTACAAAACATTTACCCACAGGACAAACATATCAACAAAATTATAAACAAATAAAAGAGAAAATGAGACAACTCTAACAATCCACAATTTGGGGATAGTGCAAGGTCATAAAATTCAACATTTTGCCAAGGCTTTCAATGGATTAACTAACATGCACTAGGGAGTCAGCATATAGAAATTATAAGTTCTTTTATCTTAATAAAAATGAATATTGTATTATAAAATATATAGATAATTCAGGAAAAATGTTTAAATGCTCACAAATATCAAGTGATACCACAGTAAGTACAGGGAGGGGTTTTTTTTGTATTTTAAATACAAATGTTAAGTGACAGCTTAAAGAGTTCACTGCTAAAATGAACCTGATTGTCACATAAATTTCCAATGATTAAATTTCTCATCAATCCACTTTAATATGGTATGGAGAGCAATAGAAGCATGTATAATATAAAAATCACTGGTAATCACCAAATTGTAAACATTTTCAGTGTGCCTTCAGAATACAGCTGACAAATTTGAAAACTACTTTCAAATAAGAGGCAGAGGAAGGAACCACATACGCTCTGAATATCTGACTAACTGAGCTGGGGAAGCTGCCCTTTCTATCACGTCCTCTGGTGTAAATTACCTTTTTTTCTCAGGCAAAGAAGCTTGAGAACAAGGTTAAGTATTTGAATTTTATGTAACTATTTCCCTCTCTGCAGACAGGAGGGGACACTTTTGCTAAAAAATTTAAATGCTTAAGCAGAATTCTTGTCAACAAATAATTAAGCTAGAATGTCAATCTTGAAAGGGAAATACAAAAATGTAACTGTATCTAAGATTCTGTAGTTATGGGAGAGGTTAGGGTTCTCTAAGTTATGCATAGATCAGAAAACGAACTGTCAAAAGAAAAAAAGAGAAAGTACCAAAAGCTATTTTTTCCTCCAGGGACAAGTAGTAGACTAATACCACAAGGTCAGATTCTCTTGAGTAGAGAAGGCCTTTTAAGATCTAGTGCATCTCGCTCTCTAGCGTTTTCATCTTTTCCCCCAGCCCCGAGCATGTGCCTGTTTCAGTGACAGCAAACACAGTCTGGAGTTACCGCATTTTATCTCAGGATGACTGTTCAAAATTTCTTCTTTACTATTATATTTTCAATTTGCTGCTTCTCAGTTCTACCTGTGGGACCTTCATCAATAAGTCTATGTCCCTCCTCCGTGAACAGTCCTTCAACTGCCTGAAGGCAATCATCGAAGCTCTCTGTTTCTCCTCTGCTCCAGGCGAACACTCCTGGTTGCTTTGGCCATTCCTCATAGCACACGGTCTCACGACCTTTAACGCCTCTGGGTCAGGTACCTTCTGATCATATACTATCTAGTTTGTTTAAATCTCTTTTAAAATATTCTTTTTATTTCAACCGTAAAGCCAAATTTTATAAAATCTAAATATTACAGATACACATAAATGGCGATTTGAAAGTCTGTAATTCCGCTCCTCAGAAATAACTGTCAAGAGTTTAGTATATTCTACCATTTTTCCCAATGTATACTGATGCCTTTATATATAGGATCATCCTTGATATACTCTTTTATAGCTTGCTTTTTTCACATAGCAATGTGTGTTAAACATCCTTCTGTATCAGGACATATAGCTCCACTTCATTTTAGTATTTAACAAGATTTTTCTACCACACAGATATCCACTAGGGGACAATTTAGTTATTTTCAATATTTTGCTAATATAAATAATATTCTAGGGAATGTCCTAGTATATATACATGTGTATATGCGTATTTTATATATGTATGTATGCACATATACAATATCTTTACACATTCTTGCTACCATTTCTATAGAACATCTTATTGGAAATATAGTTATGTAATATTATAACAATTACATAATAAATAAATATAATAATATAAACACTATGTATACTGGTAATATTTTCATTATACAGGACATAGGGTATGTCCATTTAAATTTGAATAATTTTGCCATATTGCCTTCTAAAAGTTTTTGCCAATGTAGTCTCACCAACGATGTTGTTAAAAAATAATACACACATCCATGGGTAGTCTGACCAGCTCCTCCTAGTGTGGGACCTCACCTCCCTCTTTTGTTCTGGGTACTGCACTTCACGTAATGTAGCCCGAAACAGCACATATTTCTGTTAAACCACATCTTCCCCACTCTATGGTCAGGAAGTTGTCTTTTCAGACACAAGGACAAAAAATGCTCTATTTCAAGAGAATATATATAGTCAAAATATAGTAAATATGTAAACAATGTGAAGTATGAACTTACCAATTCATTTTTAGTGTTTAGGTTACTCTCTAGCTCCTCACAACTCTGTTTTTGTAACACGGCCTCCTCTTTTAATGATCTGTTCAATTTATCTTGATTTTTAATTTCTTCCAGGAACTTTGTTTGTTTGCTCTTAAGCTCTTCAATTTCCGTTATCTTTTTTTCCAGGTCTCTTTCTAGTCTTTCTACTTCTTCTGCCAATACAAATTTAATAGTTTATTCAACATTATAAGTTCCTAGTTGAAGAAAGGTAAGAATATTTCTTAACTAATAGCAAAAGAACTCTTAGAATAGTATAGATATAGTTCTACTTTTATTTTTTTTAATTATTTATTTTTAGAGAGAGGGGAAAGGAAGGAAAAAGAGGTAGAGAAATACTGACCAGTTGCCTCTCTCATGCCCCCACTGGGACACTGGCTCTTAACCCAGGCATGCGCCCTGAAGGGGAATCGAATCAGCAACCTTTTGGTTCACAGACCTATTAAGCCACAACAGCCAGGGCTAAATTATTTGCTATGACTAACTTTGGGCGGGGGGTGGGGGAGGTGGGGAAGACTGTTTTGAACTAGAAAGTGATTTATATTAAGAGGTAAGAAGTCATCATTGGATAACAATTTTAAAAGATAACATTTTCCCCAAATATTTAATTCAATTAGTGTGTTGATAAATGAAGCTTTCCAGGCCTCCCATAAAAAAATGCAGTGTTTTATGCGACATTTGTAATCAAACATTAAAGGATGGTACAAGCATGTTTGCAAAATACTATGCTATCTTAAAATCCTTCAGAGGCTTCCCACTATGTTTAGGATAGGATCCAAAAAGCCTGTATGAAGAACTGACAAGGCTCTTCATGATTTGGTCTCAAACTCCCTCTCCAGCATTATTTTCAAGCACATCTCACTGCAGCCCACTGAAATGATTCCAATTCTTTAGATCTATGATTTTTCTTCTTACCTGCAGGCTTTTATTCACACCTTCTGCTTGGAACTGGCTTCCTCTATTACTGGCCTATTTTGCATCCTCCAGGTCTCAGTTTTAAAAATATTTTTAAAAGTCTGCCCGACTCTACCCTCCCCCCAGGTCAGAGGCTTCTCAGGGATGCTCTCACACCACCTTGCACCTCCACTGTGGCCCTGGTCACACAGGGAATTGTAAAATGTGATCAGATAACTTGGTTGTCTGCCTTCCCCACTTAGGCTTTGTGAAAGCGGAAACTGCACCTATCCACTGCACCACTGGATTCCAACAGCTCAGCACATTAAAGGCTCCTAATTAATATTCAAAGTCACCAATGCATCATAAGTAATTGAAACATCTTCCCCAATAGTACATTTATATGATGACTTTCCTTTGTATTATTTATATTTTAAGGATTCTAAAACATAAGCTTCAGAGTAATGAATGTGGAGTAAGGGGAATCCCAAGCTAATTAAAATTTATATTTCTCAAGTACTGGATCAAACATTACGAGACTATCATTTTTGTAAGCAAAGTAGACCAACATCAATTTCAAATGGTTGAATATACAGGCTCATTTCCTAACATTCTAAAATGAATATTCCACACCTTCCTCTTTCTCTACACCCCCACCCCATACTACTCCTTCTATCTTCTCAGTTGATGACCTCATACTTCATGAGAAAAGACCCTGCTTGTGAGAACTTCCTCATTTTCCCACCACCAAAGCAACAGAACTATCCACATCTGCACACAACTTCTCTCCTCCTTCGATGGAGAAAGTGTCCTGTCCTTCCTATTAAGAGACAATCTTTCTTCTTTTTCTCTGATCTAATCTTGTCTTCTCAAGGACCAAAAAGAATTGAGCCATGACTTATCTCTCCACTCTGCTCCTGAATATTGATTGTCTTTGCTTCTCTGACTACTAGCTTTGAGGTTTTATAGCATTGGCTTCTGCTCATTTCCTGGTATGGAAGCCACTGGTGATTTTTTTTAAACTCATTTATTAGGTATTAGGGGGAAGAAATTATGGGATCAAATTTCAAATCTTCACCCAAATATCACTCTTCTATCTATAACCTAGCATTTGTCCTAATCACACCTTAACTGCTGTTGTCAAGATCATCATCAGATGTTGCCAATCTCATGCACCTCTCTGTGCTCATCTTACTTCTTCGTACCTCAGCAACATTCAACGTAGCTAACCACTTCCTCTCTTGAAACCTTCTTCTCTGGGCTTTTGCAACCCACTATTTCCTGGTTTTCTTTTACCTTGTTGGCTTCTCTGAACTTCCTTAGCTGGCTCTCCTTCTCGCTCATCCCAACCCCTGCTTGACTGTGCTAATTGATTCTGGTGGAATTAAAAGATCATTTTCATGCTGATTGATTCCCAAATTTATAGGTGTAGTATAGATCTCTTTGAACTCCAGACTCACATTTCCAAATCTTTTTGGTTTTCTCACAGACATTCAAACTCAGCACTCTAAGTTCTCCTATATTTATACATGTCGCCATCCAAACACTCAAGCCAGAAGTGTGGGAATTTCCAATCCATTAAATAGTGCTGCTGAACCTCCAAAACCGATCCATCAATATACCAAACCTACCACCTAAGCACAGGCCATCAACATTTCTAGCCTAGATTTCTGCAGCAGCCTAAACACGTGTCCCTTTAGCTCCATTTTCCTCTGTTCTAAATCAATCTCCATCCTGTATCAATAATCCTAATAAATAAACTAGCTCATGTCCCACTCCCAATTTGAAACTGTCAATGGCTTTCTTCTGCACCTGAAACAAATTCCAAACTCCAAGGGCCTGTGCTATCTCCCCCCACCACACTCACAATCCCTCCAGTCATACTGATCTTCCAGTTCCCTAACTTACCAGGATCTATCCAACCTCAAATGCCTTTGTTCACATGGCTAATCCATTCTTGCCTTTGTCTCCAGTTGAAATGTTACTTCCTCATAGAGCGTTCCTTTACACCACGCTTTCCCAAAAAGTGCTCCTTTTCCACTGCTCCTTTATCAGGGTTTACTTGCTCTTTTGCATCTGTCTTCTCCACTAAAACACAAGCTGCACTAAGGCCGGTACCCTATGTCTTCCTCACCATTGTATTCTTAGTACCAGATACAGTGCCTGGCCCACAATACATGCTCAATGACTATTTGCTGAATTAATTAATTTATGGTACAACCTTCTACGCAAATTTTAACAGCCTTATAATGTTCATAATATATTTTTATGGATAATTTCTGGGTTATTCTTTTCCCATCCAAATTTAATTAAAACAAAAAAAGTCACTTTACCCAAACTGAATCTCTCAAAAGCTTCCTGTCTGTCTTGAGTGGTTACTGGCTGACCTTCCAAGCTTTCCAGTGAACGGAGGTGAAAAATGGTAAACTGGAAGTAATGAGAAAGGGCAACAACTGGATTTTCAACTAGGATCAGAGAAGTCAAATCTTGAAGTGGTTTCAACTTGCTTACATCTTGAAGCTGAAATGACATATAACACTATTGGTATAATTTAAAAATCATAAACATACCTAAAAGGAGTAATAAATATAGGAAACTGCTATTAACATGGCAAGGAATCTACTCATGAAACCCATTATCGAAAAGCAGCTCATGAGGGGAGGAATAAGGAGGAGTATTTGAGTATCTGCCTATAGTGCGTCAGGGCGCCATTAGGCATTTCCATGTACTATTTCATTTGTGACTCCTCACGACCACCTATGATATATAATCATCTGAACTTCATACATGAAGAAACTGAGGTTGCTCAAAGAAGTTAGGTGACTTGCCCAAAGTTCAGAGGTTATAAGTGAATGAAATAGGATTTGAACTTAAATCTGTGTACCTACAAACCCTTTGCCTTTTCATTATACTGACTGAACAAATTGAAAAAAAAAAGGTAACTTTTCAGACAACAGCTATAATTAATAGTTAAAAGAAATAAGGATAAGTTTTGAAGTGAGAGTTTTATATTTATTGAAAGATGGTTTTAAAAGGTTGAGAAACTACTATTAATAGTACGAAAAAATCTTACCCAAATGAATGTGTATCACTTATTGATACCAATGTCAAATATGAACTGGGATGAAAAGTGACACCAATTAGAAATAATCATAAATATTTATTGAATGATTTTCCTGTTAACATCAGCTGGCACTGAGTCCTAGCTAAGGATCACTATTTGAGGAATATGTGTGGCAAATTTTAGACTCGCGGCTGCCCTATCACCTCCCGAGCCCCAAGAGTTCCAAGGTGATGCTGTATAACAAGGCGTGGGCTTGGGCTCCGAGGCTCCTGGGCCATCTCAGTGAAGTGGCAGAGAATCACCTTAACAGATCTTCACAAAGATGAAATAAGAAACAAATAGACATTGCTCACTGCACAGCATTAAACAAGTGTTGTTTATTATTACTGCTTCCACTGTTGAAGGTTTAAGGAATACAACCTGAGAGTTAATGTTTGAAAAATTTTACAGCATTTTCTACTATAGCATCTACCATTTCACCTGAGCCCATAACACTCCTGTAAAGGAGGCAGGGTAGAAACTGTTTCTCCAACTTAAGCAGTGAGTTGCAGAGAGGCAAAGAGTTTCTTCAAGGTCACAGAAGCCAAGTCTAGACAAATAGTGGAAAGCACATCTTTTCTATTTTAAGACTGGTGTTCTCTAAATTGTAGCATGATTGTTTCAATTTTAATACAGATTTAAATATGTTAATGTTTTTACTTAGTAATGTTTCTTGAACATCTAACTGTAGAAATATCAAAGAAAATAATGAATTACACTCCAGAGAAAAATATACACCATCCTTAGATTAGGTGAACCATGATAAAAGTTGCTCAATTATAAACAGCTAGTGAGTAACCTCCTAAAACACCTAATACTATAATTGAGATTCATTCATAAATTAGAAAAAAAGAAACTGTTCCAGGCATTCACTGACCTGAATTCTGGTACAAAGTGTGTGACTTTTTAAAGATTTTATTTATTTATTTTTAGAGAGAGGAGAAGAGAGGGAGAAATATCAATCTGTGGTTGCCTCTCACATGGCCCCCACTGGGGACCTGGCCCACAACCCAGGCATGTACCCTGACTGGGAATCGAACCCACAATACTTCAGTTCACAGCCCACACTCAATTCACTGAGCTATACCAGCCAGGGCCCAAAGTATGTGACTTCAAGTAAGAGATTTAACCTCCCTGAGACTATAATTAACAATGGGAGTAAAACTGTGGTACCTAACTAACAGTATTATTTATTTATTTGTATTTTATTGCTTATGCTATTACAGTCATTCCTGCTTTTTCTCCCTTTGCCTACCACCACCCAGCCCCACCCCCATAGTATTTTAAAAATAATTCCTGCACTGTCTTCTTAAAATGAGTGTTCTGAGGCTCAAATGAAATATTAGATGTGAAAATGCTAAGAGATCAATTCTTAGTTACCATGGAACCATGTAAAGCTAGGACTGACTATATTTAATTACCCTAGACAATCACAGGTTATGTTTGAATTTAATGTTTCATCAAAGGACTACTGACCTTAAAAGAGGAGACCCCATTTTTTTAAAACTTGGATTTTACCCTTTTCAACAAGTCCAAAAATTTGAAAAACATTCTTGTTACTCTGAATAACTTACCGATGATATCTTGTTGCCTTTCAGATTGAGGGCTCGCAAGGATTTTAACTTCTTCCCAAACCATGCTGGAATATGTTCAATTTCATTTCCCGCAAGGTTTAGCTTTTGCAGATTATACATATTCTCTATGCCTTCAATTTTGCTGGAAATCAAAGGGTAAAATCAAACTTAGTACCATAATAGAGTCCCTCCACTATATTAAAATTTTATTTACTTTCAGAATGAGGGGGAGGGAGCAAGAAAGAGAGAGAGAGAAACATCCATGTGTAAGACAAACACTGATGGGTTGCCTCTCTCACTCCCCCAACTGGGGACCTGGCCCTCAACCCAGGGATGTGCCCTGACTGTAATCCAACCAGAGACACTTTGGCTCGCGGGCCAGAGCCCAATCCACTGAGCCACACCAGCCAGGGCCCTCCACTATATTTTTAGAATTAACAACCTTGGTTTTATGTGAGGTTACCTTTCACAATTATAATTTATCAACCCTTTTCATAAATGAGAACCAAAAAAAAGCAGTTAAAAACAAATTCATCACAACATCTTTGGTAAACTCTTCAATTACTGTGGCCAGAAATCTTACCTATCTTACTATCAAACTTTATGATCCCACAACACAGAAAAGAAGAGCCTGTCTGTGGCATTCTTACTAGCCACTATAAAGAATGCTAGCACTGACAGCCAGGGGAGAGCTGGAAAACCTAACAGCACACAGTGCTAGGTGTTACAACCCTGCCCAAGAGAAGATGTCTGTCATTACTACCTTAAGTCATTACTGAAAGATTAGCTATACAAGCAGGTTAAGGCTGCCATTTTGAGCTGGTGGACCCCCAGAATAATACTGTATTTATAAACACAAATATTTTAATGAGACTATTCAAATGAATGCAACATTCATCACCCATACTGATGAATTTTCACTGATGAAGTATTTTCCCAACTTAATTCCAATTTAATTATCAGTGTAATTACTTGGTCAGGAGAACAGTATAATATTTCTAAGCTTCTTTATTTTCATTTTCATTTTGTTGAAATTATTTTTATCAGGATCAATTATTCTTATACAAACTTTATATTAAGGATTGATTCATTAATCAGTTATTTTCCCATTTATTTTTGCCATATTAGAGTTTCTGCTATTGTTAGTTGTTTGTTGGCCATTATCTATATCAAGTCCTACATGGGGGGAAGTATACAGATACAAAGATTTTCAAGATTTTGTATCTGCATTATTTGTCTATCACAAGTTTTCTATGTGCAGTTTTAGCTAGTCAATTTTATGTTTGTATCTCACAGTAATACATTTTATGAAATGGAAACAAGATTGAGAGTACATTTCCTATATCAATCAGCAAAGAACATCAGGACAAACAAGTTGAAATATCTTTAGGATCAAAATTACAGTGTTAAAACACACTGCTTCATGTCCACTTTCTTAATGTAATAGGCAGTGAATCAAAAACTCTATCAGGGAAAACTTCCTGCCAAAATAGAATTAAGATAAAATTTGGTACTCAAAAAACATATCTCCTTCTTGGTAATGCTAGGTAGATATTACTCAGTACTGTAGCAATGCCGAGTCGTGAAGGCAGTCATCACCTGCGAAGGGCCAGACTATCCATGAATAAAGGATCAAAGTGCCTGCTGTTTCAGAGCTTTCTCTCAGTAACACAGCAGCATTAATCTATCTCTTTAACAAAGACAATGACCCTGCAATGCTACCTAAAGAAGCAGTACTTACCAGATCTTGTTATATGATAAGTTGAGTTCACGTAATTTTAACAGTTTATCCAGCTTCTCAATCTTCCCTATTAGATTATGGCTGAGATTCAGTACTTCAAGTTTAACACATTTTTCCAAATTTTCGATATACTAATTGAAAACAAATGAATAAATACTTTATACAACAGATGCCCTGACATAAGCACAACATGTACATATGTGATCAGTCATAGAGGATAGTAAGCCCTTACTGCTCTCCTAGACAATCCCTTGGCGAGGCTCTCTGTGACCAGGAGCACCAGCTCTACTCAAGCCGCCAAACTTGCCAAGCAGACATTTCCTATAGACTAAGAAGTGCAGGGCTGTCCAACAAGAATTCCCCCACCTCAACTTTTCATGGTTCTCCCTCCCTCCTCTCTTTCTTTCTTCAATGTTTAACAAGATACTTAGATTGTTGTATAAACTTACTCCTCCTCTCCCCTCCCCACACATTTATACCTTCGATCTCTTTCTCTCTCCTGGGTCTTCCTCACCAGTTTAAAACCAGTCATTATCAAACAGATATTCATTACATACTTACTACATACCAGGTGTGGCACCAGGCAGTGGAGATAATACCAGTGAATTAGACAAGTGCCCTGCTGCAGAAGCCTATGTTGCACATGCTCAATTTCTTCTATAGAAAATAAATCCCTCACACTGACCTTGTTTTCTTATGAAGCCATAATTTTATCTTTCTTGTTTGCCACCATGTTCTCACAAGAATTACAGACATTTGCTCATTCTGCCTTCCATTCACTCTTATTCTATTGGTAAGGCAATGTATCTTTTGCCTTTAATATGTATTCAAACAGTTCTCTCCAAGATCACTATTCATTCATCCCTTCCACGAATATTTATGAATATTTATTTCCTAGGACCTGTTCAGGTACTGGAAATGTGGTAGTGAATCAGGAGAACAAGGTTCTTGTTTGTTTGTTTGTTTGTTTAAGATTTTATTTATTTATCATTAGAGGGGAAGGGAAAGAGAGAGGGAGAGAAATATCAATGTATGATTGCCTCTCGACATCCCCCTGCTGGGAACTGGCCTGCAACCCAGGAATGTGCCCTGACTGGGAATTGAACTGTGATCCTTTGGTTTGTAGGCCTGTGCTCAATCCACTGAGCTACACCAGCCAGGGAAGATTCTTGTTTTTTATTCACAAAGAAAGATAATAAACAAATGAAAAAATAAACAAAGTTTTCAGACAGTGAAGCATACTAACAACAGAGATGACATGATGTAGCAGAATACAAGGCACTAAGATGACAGATTTTGTCTGTTGTGTTTACTGCTATAGCACTAATGCCTGGAACACAATGGGTCCTAAAGAACTATTTATTGACTGAAAGAATAAGAGAGAGTGCCTGAGGAGAGGTGGCCAGCTGTGATGGGGTCATGAAAGAAGGCCTCACAGAGGAGTACACTGAGCCGAGACCTTAATCACAAGAAGCTAGCTGTGCACACACCTGGGGGGCAGAGAATACCAGGCAAAGAAAACGGAAAGGCCCTGAAAGAATGAACTTGGTGGATTTGAGAAATAAAAGGGCTTTAAAATTTATTTATTTTTTTAGAGAGGGGAAGAAGGGAAAGAAAGAAGGATAGAAACATTCATCAGTTGCCTCTCACAACTGATGGGGGTTCAGCCTGCAACTCAGGCATGTGCCCTGACTGGGGATCAAACCAGTGACCTTTCAGTTCACAGGCTGGTACTCAACCCACTGGGCCACACCAGTTAGGGAAGAAAGGGCTTTTCAATTGACAAATCCAACTGACTTCTAAATTTTCATCCCATTTGACTGTCCTGTGACATTTTATATCATCCTTTCCTGCCTTAAGTTTTCCCTGCATTGGCCTCAATTTATCACCCTCTTAGATTTTCTCCTGTCCCAATAGCTCCTTCAGGCTTCTTCATTGGGTGTGCCTCTCCCCTGCTCTGATTCTCCTCCACTATTTCTCCTCTTAATCCTAGGCATTCTTCACACTAAGCTCTAAATTCCCAGAGATCACAAACTAAGCTTATTTACCTTCCTATGTACTCCCACAGCCTAACACAATGCCTGACATAGAGGCGGCAGGAGAAGCTCTGAGCATCACAGGAGAGTTCGCAGAGAGACCCACAGGGTCCTAGAACATACACAAACCCACCCACCCACCCTGGAATCAGGACCAGAAGGGCACAATCTGCTTGGGGGTAGCGAGGGAAGTAACTGGAAGCCAGCTGGGAGGCGAGCAAGTGGCATTGTTCCCTCTCGGATCCCTCCCTCACATACAGTGCCAAACTCAGCAAAGTGGGTTATCCTACCCCGGCAAATACCTAAGGCTCCACTCCCTACTACATAACAGGTGTGCTCAGACAAAACCATATGGCCCAAATGAAAGAACAGATCAAAGCTTCAGAAAATATACAACTAAGTGATGAAGAGATAGTCAACCTATCAGATTCAGAGTTCAAAGCACTGGTAATCAGTCATAAAATAGAGGAAGAAGTGAAGGCTATGAAAAATGAAATAAAGGAAAATGTACAGGTTACCAACAGTGAAGAGAAGGAAACCAGGACTCATTCAATGATTTGGACCAGAAGGAAGAGATAAGCATTCAACCAGAACAGATGAAGAAACAAAAATTCAAAAAAATGAAGGGAGGCTGAGGAACTTCTGGGACAACTTTAAATGTTCCAACATCCAAACCATAGGGATGCCAGACGAAGAAGGGGAAGAGCAAGAAATTGAAAACTTATTTGAACAAATAATGAAGGAGAACTTCCCTAATCTAGAAATGAAATAGACTTTCTGGAAGTCCAGGAAGCCCAGAGAGTCCCAAAGAAGTTAGACCCAAGGAAGCACACACCAAGGCACATAATTACATTACTCAAGATGAAAGCTAAAGAGAGAATCTTGAAAGCAGTAAGAGAAAAGCGGAGTTACCTACAAAGGAGTTCCCATAAGACTCTCAGCTGATTTCTCCAAAGAAACCTTGCAGGCAAGAAGGGGCTGGAAAGAAGTATTCCAAATGGTGAAAGACAAAGACCTACATCCAAGATTGCTCTATTCAGGAAAGCTTTCATTAGGATGGAAGGGCAGATAAAGTGCTTCTCAGATAAGGTCAAGTTCAAGGAGTTCATCATCACTAAGCCCTTATTACATGAAATGTTAAAGGGACTTATCTATGAAAAAGGAGATAAAAAATATGAACAGTAAAATGACAGCAAACTTACAACTATCAACAACCAAACCTAAAGAACACCCCTCAAACAAAACAAACTCAGCAAACAACCAGAATAGGAAGAGAATCACAGAAATGAAGATCACATGGAGGGTTATCAGTGGGGATGGGAAGGGGAGAGAATGGGGGAAAAGGTACAGAGAATAAGAGGCATAAATGGTAGATACAAAGTAGACAGGGGGAGGTTAAGAATAGCATGATAAATGGAGAAGCCAAAGAACTTGTATGTATGACCCATGGACATGAACTAAAGTGGGGGAAAGATAATGGGAGGGGTGCTACAGAGCAGAGGGGAATGAAGGGGAGAAAAAAAATGAGACAACTGTAACAGCATAATCAATAAAATATATTAAAAAAAAAACAAACAAAAGCCTGACATAATAACCATACAGTAAAGATTTACTAATTTAATATTTCATTTTGAAAATTTTAAACTCCAGCATTTCTTCTTTTTCCTTTTTAATTACACAAGTAAGACATAAATATATTCTAATAAAAATTTTAGACAAAACAGAAAATCTCTCATCAGGTCCCCAGGACCCTATAAAAAAATTCCAATTCAAAGGTAACCAGTGTTAGGAGGCTGGGATATATTCATGTATATCCATATATACACATATGGAAGAAAAGAAGTTTTAAAAATGTTTAGAGACCTTACTATACAAAATGTTTTAGATTTTTTTTCATTAAATACGTTATGGACATAGTTGCACATTAATACATAGACTTTCAACTTAGTTTTAAAGGTACGTGATAGTATTTCATAGTCTGTTATTGCACCCCAATTTATTTAACCAATCCTTTATTAATAGTCATTTGGCTATTTCTATTTTCCTATTTTAAATAATGCTTAATAAACATAACTACACAGATTCTTTTTGGATGCATGGGCAAATAAAATACTATCAGTAGAATAGACATTGAGGAATAGAACTGCTGGATTGATGAGTACAAACTCAGTAACTTTAAACTCAATTGCTAGGTTTTATTTAACATTTCTTTGAAATTAATGAATTCGAAAACATTTTCATGTTAACATTAGCCACTTTCAATACTTTTGTGAATGGTCTGTTCATATCCCTGAACATTTTCCATTGAGTTGTCTCTCCTACTGAATTGTAGGAGCTCCCTTATAGTACGTGGGTACTGTTACAGAAGTTGAAAACATGACCTGACAGTTTGTTGTTTTCTTTTAACTGTTTAAACAATATCTCTCATTAAACACAACTTTTCAATCATTAAGTAAGCTAAATCTGGCAATATTTTTCTTTGTGTTAGTAAGGTTGGTGTTTGCTTAGCAAGGCCTTCCCAACTTAAGATTTAAAAATACATTCTCTTATATTCTTCCCTAGTACTTTCATAGTATTTTTGTTGGGTGACTTTTGTTTTCATTAAGATCTTCAATCTTTTTAAATTCATTTTTGTGACTAATGTAGTAAGCATCTAAGTTTGTATTTTTTTCTAACTAAAAAATTAGGTTGACCACTATAGTATATTCACGTTGTAGTCTATGAATTAAAGTAGTAAGCACTCTAGAGAAGAGATCAGCAAACTTTCTCTGTAAAAAGCCAGATAGTAAATTTTTTTGGCTTTGTGGGCCAGATAGTCTGACAACTAACTTATAATACCTCTGCTATTGTGGTGCAAAAACCAGCCACAGACAACAAGTAAACAAATGAGTGTAGCTATAAAATTTTATTTACAAAAACAGGCAGCAAGTCCAATTTGGCCTACAGACTATACTATGCCGACCCCCTTCTCCAGAGTCAATAATGTAAAAAAAAAAAAAAGGTACTCATGAATTTGAAGATGTCATATACTTCAGATATAGAACTTTCACTGGAAATAATAAAGGTCTGCTACAAATTAGGAGACATTAGGATGAGATGTTACTGTAAGTCTAATATCTATTCTTTTCAGTTTTAAACAACAGAAATACCAAAAAGAATGCCTATATTTAAAAATGTTGGTAACTTACCTTAAATTTCTTGCCACCATCTCTAGAAAGTGAAAGGTTCAGAGATTTTACCAAGGCCAAATCATCCTGTTTAGTAAGTTTCTTAATAAGGACTTCTGTAATATATCGGACTCCTGCATGTGAATCAGCTTCTGCAATTACAGAAACAGATAATTATCAGCAAAGGAAGATATGAATACTCTGAAAACAAATTGTTTTGATATTATAAAATAAAAACAAATTTAATCATGCAAATGTAAAGACAGCTGGTGAGTTCTAATTGCAATACTTTAATAATAATATTTTACTTTATATCGCATTCCATAATAATGACGATAACAGTTATATTCTATAAATACAGAGTGGGGCAAAAGTAGGCTTACAGTTGTTCATATGGCAAATGATAAGGTAATTAATAAATAATACTATAAGAATAAACTTTGTTTTATGCACTCACAACTATAAACCTACTTTTGCCCCACTCTGCATTAGCTGTGTGCCAAACCTTGTGCTAAATGCTTTACATTTTAAAATTTTAATTTATACAACAAATCTGAGATAGAAATTACTATTCCCATTTATTTACAAAATTATAATAATTTGCTCAAAATCTTGCAGCTAGTAATATGCAAATCCAGGACCTGAATCCAGGCAGGTGAATCCCAAACTTACACTTTTAATCATATACAGCACTGAAGTTTTTAGCAAATAAAAAAAAATCTGGCAGTATTTAGTTTTTGCTTTTTAAAATTCCAATCTAAAGTTCAAAAGGGCTTAAATTCTTTAAAATCCTCTAAAATCCTCTTTTCCTTTTTTTAAATGGCGACAAACTCAAAGTTGTTGCTCTTTTAAACAGAGAAGACCACATCATATTTTATAGAGACAAAGTACTAATTTGATGGATAGCACACCCTGTCCTATGACCTTTCTGGATATCACTGTCCCAGTTTATTAAAGCTGTGTTACAGTTTACAAAGGCAGCAAATAAAAAGAAAACTGACTCTTGGTTCTTTCTTTGGGTCAGAAAAAAATTAATTCTCAGTTCAGATCCACACTATGGGCCAAAGACTCCCTACGATTATTTATAATGAGTCAATATCACATTTATTTTGGTTCAAAATAAAATAATTTTTCCTTTAATTTGGGCTGCTCTAGGAGAAAAAAAGATGAATATTCCAAAATAGCAATGAAATTAGAAGTAACAGCATAACAACTGACAGCAAGGGTACAGTCTAAACTCAATGCTGATGATGTTTATTAATAAAAACTAGTCAGCCCTGGCTGGTGTAGCTCAGTGGATTGAGCTTGGGCTGTGAATCAAAGGGTTGCCAATTCGATTCCCAGTCAGGGCACATGCCTGGGTTGCAGGCCAGTTCCCAGCAGGGGATGCACAAGAGGCAACCATACATTGATATTTCTCTCCCTCTCTCCTTCCCTTCCCTTCTAAAGATAAATAAATAAAATCTTAAAAAAAAAAAGCAATACCTTTATGGTCTTGGTAGTTCAAAAGTATAGTGTTTTCATCTGCAATCCCGACTTGCTTACACGACTGTCCTCCAGAATGAAAAGGCAGAATTTCAGATCCTCCTAACGGTGAGAGTGACCTGGATCTCATATTGGCCATAGATGATAATGGCATCTTTGGTTTGGAAATTTTTTGCTGAGAGCCTTTCCTCATTGCAAGAAAAAAGCCAAGAGTCCACCAAAACCTGTAAGAGTTTTCAGTATATTTAACAAGGTTAATTTTTTAAAGCTATCAAAACAATCTATTTCCAGAATTTTCAAGACTACGTAGTTACCAACTCAGAGGCTACAGACGCTAGGAGCCACACTACTCCAAGCTGGCGAGGGCAGACACTATTTCAAACATTGCCAATCACCTTGCCAGAGGAAAAAGAGACCTCCATAGCGTCTTGTATTGACACATGCTCCAGCCAAAAGTCTTATCAGTCATTTGTTTTCAATTTATTGGCTGGAAGTAGTCACAATGCCCTTTCTGCCCACAAGGCGTCCTAAAATGCAGGAAGCAGAAAATACTGGTCAACCAGCAGTATTTACTAGTGATGAGCACACTCTCCTTCCTGAAACAGTTTCTTCCTCTGGCTTCAGGGATACCACACTCTCAGCGTCAACCTGCCTCCCCAGCTTCTCCTTGGCCTCCTCTGCTGGCTTACATTCTGCCATTCAATCTTTGAGTGTCAGAGTCCTCAAGTCTTTTCTAGCCTCTTTCTAATCACATTTTAAATAATCGAATACACATCCATGGCTCCCAATGCCACCTGCTTACTGATATTTATATCTTCAATCCAACTTTTTCTAACCTCCAGACTCCTATTCCTGACTGCCTACTTGACACTTCACTGGCATCTTAATTTCAACATCTCTGAACTGAATTTATAATTTCCCCCATTCCTCCTTCATTTTCCTCCCATCCTGTTCCTCCTCCAGTGCTCCCTAAATAGTGAACAATACTCATGGGAATAAGCCAGAAAATTTAATATGACAGCATCACGGAACTCATAATCTGGTTTCTTAAAGTGACAATTTGAGGGGAGCAAAAACCTGCTATATTTGTTTTTTTAAAGAGATTATTATTTCACAGTTACCCAGTATAATATGGCCACCTGCCTTGTCCCAGCAGTCCAGTTCACTTTAAAATGTAAACTTATAAATGTCTTTCTCTTTCATTTTTTCATGTTAAAAAATCCAGTTATGTCAGAAAACCTTCCCACCAATTCACGTAACTGCTGTTTATGCCACAGCCACAAGGTTTTAGGTGCTGATTTCACAAGTGTGATAAACAATTTTTTTGTCTTATCATATGATTCTGCCACAGAAAATAATATTAGTAATATTTATATTGGTAATATTAATGATTCAGAGCTAAACTGTACTGGCATTCTCTTTCTAAATAATAACATACTCAAACTTGAGAAGAGGTAAGAGGCATGTGTTTTAAAAGCAAAACTTTATGTATTCCTGAATTAAGTATAGTCTTCCTAAGGGCAACAGATTAAAAACCAGAAGAGCAGAAGGTTAAGGCGCAGTTCACACTTCTACATATGGTTCTCTATGCCATAGCATGGAATAGTCATATATGCTACGTGCTAAAAAATATACTTTATATTTTTTAGTTTCTTGGTTAAAAAAGCACATCCTAAATTTTTATTCAATGCAATTATTTTGTAGTCTACATCTTAATCTTCTTTGTTAAGTCTTAACATACTGAATTCTTCATAATATCTAACAACCAAGACCCTTTGGGCCTCACTAGACTATTGTGAAGTCCTTTGTTACCTGTCCTGATCAGAAAACCCTGCCTTACTCACTTTCAGTAAAAAAAAAATACATATTAGAATGAATTTCAGAATCTAAATCAACTCCTTTTTATGAATTGTAACATAAGTGATGGTTCCAAAGTCGCAGTGCGTTCCCAGATCCCCTCCCTGGGTTGCCATAGCTCCTGTAAGGCCTGGACATTGAAACAATAGAGATGTATTACAATCTCCTAGCACAGTTAACTCACCGAACTGGGCTTAGTGGTTTACTGTGTTTGAGAATGTCTAGCATTATTTCAGGGGTTAACACCTGGAGATAGTAAATCTTGAACTACAATTTTAAGGAAAGATGAGGATGTTGTTTGACCCTAGCATGTAGTTAACAATGACATAAACAAAGACTAAGCAATAGAAAAGAGAAGACAGAGCTGAGAGGAAGGGCTAAAGAGTATAAAGAGGAAGGACAAAAAGAAAATAAAACCAGCCCTGGCTGGTGTGGCTCAGTGGACTGAGCACCAGCCTATAAAGCAAAATGTCGCTGGTTTGATCCCTGGTCAGGGCAAATGCCTGGGTTGCAGGCTGATTTATGTATCTCTCACACATCAATGTTACTCTTTCTCTTTCTCCCTCCTTTCCCCTCTCTCTATAAATAAATACATATATACATACATACATACATAAATACATAGATAAATAAAATCTTTAAAAGAAAAGAAAACCAAACAAAAGTCCAGAATTGGGGACACATATCGAAGGCCCACAAGGTGGTCTGCAGAGGAAGAGAAAGCCACTGGAATGATGTGATGATCAGAATCGCATGGTAAGGCACCAAACCACCACCCATCCTGTCAGTCTAAGACTTAGATATCTTCCTTGATCTAACAATCCGGAGCATCACAACTTGGTAGACAGCACACTTCCACCTCTCTCCAGCATTTCCTAACATTCCTAACTTTCCATCCTCTTCTCTGATCTTCTCTAAAAGGCAGACCTCAACAATCCCCGAACCTTCCATCTCTTCCCACTCCGCTCCAATATGCAGATATCTGTCCCCATTTCTTGACCTCCATATCCCTCTCTATTACACCCCTTAGCCTCGTAATCACTTCTTAGTACTTTCCCTACAATTCTGCTTTATTCCATACTCTTGGACCCATTTAAATACTCTTACTCTTTAACTTTCTCTAGTCCTAATATTCCCATTCCTCTCCAAAGTCACTAACCCGGCTGCTCTTCTTTCCAGAGGCAATTGTTGACCTCTCCCTCCCATCCTTCATTCCATTCTGACTGCCAAATTTTCCCACGAATCCCAATTGTCGCTCTACCATTCTCCATTTCTCTACCCTGCTTCAATATTTCTATATTCACTCTGATTTCCCAACTGTTCATCCTAGCAGATATTCTGACATCCTAATCCATTCCAGTACTCCAACTTCCAATTATTTCCCTCCTCAAAGAAAATATTCAAATCCCCACCCATTCTTCATCCCAACATATTACCTAGCTGCTTGCTTTTCCCTTTTCACACCCTTGTGAAATGTCCTTCTCTGTCCTATCAACATCCTGAATTCTCATCTCATATCTCTCCATTCTTCTCAAGAACCCTAAGACTCAAGCTTCCCACACATTTCCACTAAGTTATTTATTCAGTCATTCAGTTTTATTGAGCAACTTTGTTGCTCCAAGGACTGTGCTAGGCTCTAAAAATACAGAGCTGAGAAAGCAGGGTTTCTACACTCAAGATGCACAGCAGGATTATATCTCCTATTATACATGTTTCTGTACAAAGTGGTCTCCTTTACAACTTGATTACTGCCTGTATCTTCTACGAGTTTAAGCTACAAGTCAGGAGGAACTCCATTTGACTGTTTGATGCACAATAAATATCTGTTGAATGAATGAAGAAAGGACTGTTGCAAGGACATTAAGACATTACCAAATTTAAATCCTTGCAGATACTGTAAACGATCAGAATTATTAACCTCATGTACAAGCAGCAGTGCATCATTAAGAATTAAGAGTAGATTCTGCAACTAAGCCTGAGTTCAACTCCTAATTTTCCTTACTGTGTGACATTAGGTAAATTACTTAACCTCTCTGATCCTCAGTTTCACTCTTAAAACGGGGATGGTAATCTCATACAAGTTATTTTAAATATTAAGTGAGTTAATGCATGCAAATGACTTAGAACTGAATCTGACGTATTTACATAAAAGTAATTAGCAATTAGTTTTACAAATGAGAAAACATATGCTCTGGAAGATTAAAGAATATGCCCAAAGTGACAGAGCCAGTTAAGTAACACACAAAGTGAAAAAATCAAGACTTGAAAGCCAGTCTTACATCAAAATTCACCTCTTCCTTAACCCTCTTTTTTCACACTTGTTCCCCATATCCTAATTCTCATCTTTCTCCATGTACTGCATTCCGCCCATACCATGACACCCGTCAGGACAATCAAATCATCCGTTATCCCTGTCACCTGGCACCCAGCAGCCCTACCCTCCTTCTCTCCGCACCGTACACTCTCGTCCTTTATCCCCCGCAACCGACCCACATCCCTCACTCCAGACCCCCCCCCTTCTGTTTCCAAACCTCCCCACGCCCGTTCCGGGACCTCCCCTCCTTCCCATCCAATCCCAATTCCCAAGCACACGCCCCCGCCCCGAAAGCATCCCAAGCCGGTCCAGGCCTTCCCGCCTTTACCGCGGGCTCCCACCGTGCAGTCTCTGTGATGCGGGAAAACACCTTCGACCGCACCTGGCACTCAGTGCGGAGAAGCCAAGCGGAGCGGGCGCGTGGGACAAGGCCGGGCGGAGATGGCCCTGTCGTTCCCTTCAGGTGCCTAGCGGCGCGGCAGCCATTTTGTTGTGTTGTGCCGGTTGCCTGGGGGCCGCGCGCGCGGCGTGGGCGGGGCCTGCTGCGCCACGCCTCTCCCGGTGCCGTTGGGGGTGGGGCAGAGCTTCCGGCTGCCTGCACTGTCCCAGCGGTTGGCGCGCGAAGGCGCGGGGAAGTCTTGGGCGCGACGTTTCTCGAGCACGCGAAGGCAAAAGGAGAACCTCGTTTCCTACAGCAGTCACCGTCAAGCCCTTCTCCTGTCACTGAGGCGGAGGTGCTGATGCCTCACGCCGGGGCTCGAACACGCCCCCTGGCGACTGGGCCAGAGGACAACCTGGGGGACCGACGTAGAGCAGTGGCCTAGCTTCCGCACTTCGAATCTGGCCGTCTGGCCTAGAACTTACGTGCCTGGCAGCACGTTTCTTGCACGACCTTTTCTGGGGCGAATTCTTTTCTTCAGGGACAAACAGGCCAGACGAGGGTGAACCGCTAAGCGAACGCAGCTTGCACTCCAGCTACATAACCCGCGGTCGAGGGGGCTCCCTGCCTGGGAGCCTGGGCAGCGAATGTTTCTGTGGGCCGTGTTAAATATTCTTCCTCTGGTTGGGGACAGGGAAGCAAAAGCAAGAAGCATTAGAGGAATCTTTGGCTGAGGCTTGCCAGAAAAGTGCTGCATTTCACCGTATATCCAACAGATAGTTTAAGACAATTTAGCATAGACTCCAGGGTGCCAGGGGACTAGTGATTTTTTTAAAAAGTTGATCCCATGGACCCTTGCCTCCACTCCAGGCTCCCATTTTTAAGGTTGTACCCTGGACCATGTCACCTTCAGAGGCTGCACCATCTCCAGAAATCTTCATTACAGTCTCTTCCTCTCTTTTGCCATAATCCTCAAATTTCAACAGTTTGTTTGACACAAATACCCCCGTCCCAGCACAATTCTTAACTGATTCTTACCATTTTCTCATGATCGGTTCCTTCATTATAGAGATCAAGGTCTGTCTTTGAATACGATTTTAGAAATTACCTCTCTCCCTGCCTCAGTTTCCTCATCTGTGAAGTTGAATAATCATACCTTCTTCTACAGTTTCCGTGATAATTAAAAAGTCAATGCACGTGAGAAAGACTTTAGAACAGTGCCTGCCCCATGGGAAGTTCTTGGTATGTTTTAGTTATTTTATTATTAGGCGGTTTCCCAGATGTGAGGCCTCATCCTAAGGCCTGAAAGAGGAAAAGAATTTATTCAAGGAGTAAGGCAGTGGGAAAGAATTGGCTTGGCAAAGGGAGCGACTTCTGCAAACCCCAGGAGAGTGTGGAGAAAAGGGCTTGGCAGTGAGCTGGATGGACATAAAGTAGACCAGTATGGCAACCAAAAATCTGGGGCGAAGAAGCTAAAGCTGAAAGATGGGCCTTATTTATAAAACGCATTAGGCACTTGTAATTTTTCCTAAAGACAGAGATGGATTCAGAAATAGGAAATTCAGGTGACTTCCAACAGGGGCATCATTCGCATTCATGCTTAATGTGAACAGTGCTCCCCTCTCCACTGGTATTTATGCAACACAGAAGGAAGCCCTTGGAATTGTAGAAAAGCCAAAATTTCTTACAAGTTCCACATTTGAAATTAAAAGGAAGATGTATGCATTTTTATTGAGATTTGGATCATATTTATTAGTTTGGAATATGTACGTTGTTGACTTTCAGGTCTATTATTTTATTTTTGTTTTGACACTCATTTTTTCTTCTCTTTTCCATTATAGAATTGGATTTATTGTGTAACCTCATTGCTACGCACCTCAAGGTCTTTAATGATATTCAGGTGGGATCATTATTAAATCATGGTATGTTGGTGTCACCCATTATCAATCTTATAAGTAGCCATCAAAAAGATACACAAAATACAGAGGATGGTGCAAAAACCTTAATTTTCCTGTGGATAGTCTCTCTGTCCATATCCAGTTGACCTTGACAGGTACTCTCCTATACCTTCTTTGTCAATTTTCTGTTGCTTCTCTGTCAGTTTTCTGTTGCAAGCCTTTGAAGGAGGCTTCATCCAGACACAGTACCCTCTACTGGTGTCTAGCATGATGAAGGCCTTGGATAGACCTCAGGCCTTAGAAAGGTCAGAGGGGAAAGCTTTTGTAGCTAATTTGAATATTAACTGCCCCTCTTAGCATGCTAAAAGAGTGAGGATAGGAAAGTAGTGAAGACAACTCTTATTTCACAGTAATTTGTGTTTTTCCAGTAATATGAAGAAGTCATTACTCTTCTGATTTGCATTTACAATATAAATATTAGCCATGGCAGAGTGACTTAGCTATCCTTCAGTTCTTTTTCCCAAATGATAACAAAGCTATTCTGTTTGTTTTAACTTACTTCATGTTTCTCAATCCAGTTTAATCATTTTGCAGATTTGCTTTAGTGGAGAATCAGACTGGCTTGTCGGGCAGGGATGACAGCTTCCATTAATACTACTTCTGCTTATGTCTTGCTAGTGTGACTTTAAAAATTGAATGGCATGTGTTTTAAAATTTATTAATCTCACAGAGTTGGGTATAATTTGCAATATAAAAATCAATCATATACTGTGTCTAAATGAAAATTCTACGCTAGACATCTATGAATACTGATATGTGAAAACCTGACTCTATATGACAATATAGGAGGACCTGCCACTGTCTACAAAACACCAAATGCTGGGCTTGGCTTGCAAAGCCCTTGATAATCTTTCTTTAGTGTGCTGGGTTTGGTTTTGGTTTTTGTTGCTCTTATTGTTCATCTCTCCTTGTTCTATTTGTTTTGCCGATATATATTAAAACCCTATCATGTGCCAGGTCTGTGGAAATGAAATGGTGAATGAGATAGGCACAGTTTCTACCCTCAAAGAGATTACAGTCTAGTGGGAAATGCAGAAAATTTAAGGCACTATGAGAATGGCATAGAATTAGAGATTTGGTATTGTTCTCTGTGAACCCATATATGGGTTTGGGTCCAGAATGGGAAGGACTCACAATCTCCAGTGATTAATAGCAACCCTACCCAGGTTGACCTTGGGCTGTTGCCAGTGCCATAGTTTGTGGAATACCACAACTTGAGGAATTTGGGGCCTGCTTTGTGAGTTCATATCTATTCTAAAGAGGGCTAGGTCAGGCGTGGGTGCTCAGGTCCAAACCAGATCCACTTAGGCAAACCCCAAACTCCTCTGTGTCTGAACTGCACCACCTGACTCTGAGCTCTAGCTGCAGCCAATCACTATCTACTCTCTGTTTCTATAGTTTGCCTTTTTTGGACATTGATTCAGCTGGTTTAAATTTACCCAAGCTGGTTCAATAGAAGAAGCAGAATACAGAAATTTTGGCAAACAGGGTTAAGGAATGAAATAAAGGGATGATAAATGGCCCAGAGACTAGAAACTAGATAAGGGGCCAAGATCATCTCTCAGACTACAGAGGCAAGAAGAAGGAGGAATAATAGCTGCTGTTCCAGGATGCCATGAGGTTTGGAGATACCACATGGAAGTAGCGTGGCCTATTGTCTGGACTATAGGAGTTACTTAAGAAATTGTTATTAACGTTATTGGTGTAAATCTTGACACCCGAACTGTGTAGGAAGCTCCCTGAAGTCAGGGGATATGTATTATTTCATATAGCACCAATTAGAAGTCCTTGAACTTTGCAGTGTTATAATAATATTTAATTTTAATGGAATTCTTTCTTATTTAATTAGAATAACTTCTAGGAAAAAAACAAGATTGTACAAAACTGGAATAAAGCCATTAGAGACAGGAATACGAAGCCCTCGAGTAATTAATTCATGAACTAAAAAGCTAAGATAACACGAATCCCTGGAAATTATAGCCAGTGTCACAACCCAAAGGATTGATAGTTCGTATAAAACTTGCCCAGATTCTTTTCAATAGATTTATGGACTGTAAGAACTAGAGAGAATCTCAGGGTTTAATCATATCATCTAGCTAAACTCCTTCAATTTATAGTTAACATTCTCATCTTTCAGTTCTAAAAGATAAAGTTATTTTCTTACATAGAAATGGTCAGGCTACACTGTTTAGTCAATGACCAGGGGCAACCTGGAAGAGGATGGCCTCAGTTTGAAAGCTAAGGTCGGTCTTGAAGGCATTAACAGCTGGAGACTGTCAGCTAATATGCTACTCCAGCTGGATGGCAAATTCTTCCAGGGAAATCTGAGGAGCCCATTTCCGTGGTTGCCACACTGATGTTGACCACTAAAGACACTTGCCAAAGTGCATAAGGTATTTGCTGAGGGCGTTGGTGCCTGTTTGGTAGGAATTCACCAGTGAAGCTCTCAGGGTTTGGACTTTTCTTTGTGGGTAGTTTTTTAATTGGTAGCTCAATTTCATTACTTGTTATAGGTCTTTTTTGATTGTCAGTCTCTTCTTTCATGACTGTTAGTGGTTTATGTATTTCTAAGAACTTGTTTGTTTCATCTGTTATCTAATTTCATCTGTTAGCATATAGTTGTTCATGGCATTTCTTTATAATCCTTTCTATTTATGGAATATTGGGAGCATTTCCTCTTTCACTCATGATTGTAGTAATTTGAGTCTTCTCTCCTCTTGGAGAGCTTAGCTAAAGATTTGTTCATTTTGTTGATATTTTCAAAGAACTAACTTTTGTTTAGGTTTATTTTCTCTATTGTTTTTTTATTTCTGTATTTCATTAATTCCCAGTCTAATCCACATTTCCTTCCTTCTGCTTGCTTTGCATTTCCCGGTAGTTTGTTTTTCTCTTTCCACTACCTTAAAGTGGAGGTTAGGTTGTTGATTTGAGATCTTTCTTTTTTTTTTTTTTTAAAGCCTTACCTGAGGATATTTTTATTGACTTTACAGAAAGGCAGAAAGAGGAAGAGAGGGAGGCAGGCAGGGAGAGAAGGAAGGAGGGAGGAAGGGAGGCAGAGAGAGAGAGAGAAAGAAACATCAATCATTTGCCTTCTGTGCACACCCCAACAGGTAACTGAACCTGCTACCTAGGAATGTATCTTGACCTGGGATCGAACTGCAACCTTTTGCTGTACAGGATG